CTCTCAGGGCAGCGGCCTCGGTTGCAACCGCACCCCCCGCCGCGGCAGCGGCGTCAGCGGCCGCGGCGTCACCCGTGGCAGCTGCGCCCGCGGCGCCTGCACCTGCGGCAGCTGCTCCTGCGGCGCCGGCGGCTGCCTCCAAGAAGCGCGGCGGCAAACCCAAGGAGCCGGCAGGTGCACACTTCTAGCCTTGACCCCATGCATGATCCCCCTCACCCCCCACAATCAACATCCTGCATGCACCGCGCTTTTTCCTCACCCCAGCTTTCCCGTATCATGCAATCACAGCAGTCAAAACCCACTGCATTGACTTCCCCTCGACCCTCCGCTGCCGCCGCGCTGCCCTCGGCCTCCAAACGCCACCTCAGCGCCCCTCACCTACTACGACCCCTCGACCATGCGGCCGGCGCGCTGCCCAGACCCCGCACTGCGGGTGGCGTCGTGGAACGTCGCCAGCCTGCGGTCTCTGGTGAAAAAGGCGAGCCCTATTACTCGGCTGCTGACCCACTCGTGCCATTGGCTGCATGCATATCGGCATCTGTAGCTGTTTTTTTGTTGTGAGTGGTGCGGTTGATGTGGGTTGCGTCTGGCGTTGTCGTGTCCGATGGGCGCAAGCACCCGTGATGATTTTTACAATAAGCCAGGGCAAGGGGCCCGCACCATCCCTCCTGCGCCAGCCACCCCTGGGTCTAGCCAACACATGCACACGTGATGGGCTGGTTGCGGAGAATGCGCCTCAGCCGCCCCCAAACCCCCCAAACCGAGCCCTGGGCTGCACGGATGTCGACCCTCCCTCACCGTCCCCTTTGCATTTGCTATCCATGTGCCGTGCTGACATCATACTGACGTCATGGTGACATCATCAGGACAAGGACGCCCTGCAGCGGCTGGTCGAGCGCGAGGGGCTGGACGTGAGCGTTGGTTCATATAGGGAGGGGCATGCGAGCAGCCACCAGGGGGCAGGGCCGACTTGCAAACGGGGAGGGCTGGGAGGTGGCAGACAGAAGGAAATGGGTTTGAAAAGTGGGGGAGCTGGCAGGAGGCTCACAATGTGCAAGAGCTCGTTTCCAGCTGCTTTATCGCGGCGTTCGCACGTCTGCCTAATGCCTCCACAGGGGCTGATGCAGTAATTGATTCGGTCCTGCCCGCTGCGCCCGCCCTCTGTGCAGCGCGCGAGACGCGTTGCGGACTCGCGTGCAAACAAAAGCGCCCTTGCGCGCTGCGGCGTCGCGCGGACGCCTGAGCGTGCGGCCCGCAAACGACTCAGAGCCCGGTCGCTCCCCTTCACCCTGCCCTCCCCCTCCCCATACCCACTCACCC